TGCCCTATTCAGCCAGGCCAACAGTTACCTTTAACGACCGACCTTTCAGACACTTCAACGGGTATGGGGTATTGCAGGCTAACAAAGAAGCCAAACGACCCCAATTCCAAAGGAGTAAACCCCGTCGTCCATTTCAATTTGCGTGTTTTCAAAACATCTTTAAACTGGACCTTATCCAAACTGGACTTAATCCACTGGACTTTAAACATAGTCCAGTGGTTTGTTTTTTTATTTTCTTTTTTTTTTTAAATGAAGATTAGATCAACATATGTAAATGAGTCTTGTTGTTTTTTTTTACAAAGACCAACAGAAAAGGACACATAAATGGAATGTAGAATAAAATTATATGTATTTTCCTTTTTTTATATAGATAGATAGATAGATAGATAGATAGATAGATAGATAGATAGATAGATAGATAGATAGATAGATAGATAGATAGATAGATAGATTGTATTCTCTTGACTTAAAAAAGGCTAAGTAGAAACTACTGAGCTCCAAATATTGTGTCACTTTGCTGGCCACTAATTTACTGTCAGCTTTATAAAGCAAATGATCTCCCCCCAAGAGGGGGCCTGAATATCACAGCTATGCTCTCTATTTATACGTTGTATGCTACTTATAAAGTGCTAATACCAGCATCCCACACTTCCCCTGCACATCAGCAACTATAAATGAGAGTGTCCTCTACAGAAAGGAACTCATCCTCCTTAGATAAAAAAAGCTGCTTCTTTTTATAAAGGACAGTATGGGATATATCAAATCTAAACTGGTGTATGCTCAGCTACTAGTGTGAGGCGGAGAGTGGTGGAAGGCCTGGGTATGTGTGCCAAGAGTTGATGTTTTACAGTTGGGTCTTTGCCACACACTGTGACAGGGGGATCCCCAGTGTGCACAGTCCAGTTGTGCAGAGGTGTAACAGTGTTGCGGGGGCGAGGTGGTGGCGTGGCCTACTGTAACGTAGGCAGGAAAAAAGAGCAGGATGGATGGAAGTGCTGATAAGGCTGACATCAGGAGACATTTGGCTGGGGCTAGCAGAAAAAAAAGAACCAATTTCAACAACAAATTATTTTCCCTTTAGCTCTTTTTTTCCCCTCTGGAAATGGTCCAAGGTAAGACCAAAGTTCTCACAGTACAGCATTTTAAAAGAGAGTGGTGGGGGTTCCTCTGTTTCGTACTTCATCTTCCTACCTACCCTGTTAATCAACAGCTGATATTTCTACATTACAAGTTTCTTCTTTTTTCAGATAAGAGTATTCCCACTTTGAGATAGGAAATGTGAAACAAAAAGCAATGATTCCGTGATAATATGCAGCTTCCTTTTCTACCACTACCTTTTCCTCTTAGAGGCAGAAACTAAATGAAACAGAGCAATGCAAAAAAAAAGAAAAAAAAAAAAAGAATGAATTTGCAAAGAAAGAGCAAATGATACACATTTTTTTTTTTTTTTACTGAAAACTAAATAACAGACATGCATTTGTATTTAGTCACTCATAGCTGTGTTTATGAGCCCCTTACTTATCTGCCTTTTGGGTTTTGTCTTGCACATGCCTGAACACAGACATTTTGGCAAATTGCTGAAAGATCCATTGGTGAAGGTAAATATGCATGCCATTGACTCTACTGAAGCATCTCACTGTTTGTCAAAAAAAAAAAAAAACCCAAAGCAAGATACTGCCACCGTTATGTGCATGGGGGCCTTAGAGTTCCATTTTGGGGCCATCTGACTTGTGTTTTTATTGGTTTTTCTGTCTCATCAACACAGCTTGGGGCACAATGTAAATACAACCTCTAATAGCTTTCTATGACAACTCTTTAATACAAAATAGATTTAATGAATATTCTAATAATTATTGGCCTAATGACTTTTTGTTCAGAGGCTTTCACAGAACCACTGTACAATTATTATCTGAGTATTGGATAAAAGATTAAAAAAGACTTAATAGAATCATGAACTACTTTTGTTGCCATAAAACATAATAAAATATGGGATAAAAAGGGAAATGTGTTCTTGTTTCTCTCTTCAACCCGTACACAGTCTGTTAAAAATAGGATATCCGAATTTCAACTAACCAGCTGTCTGAGATTTTCTGCAATTTTGTCTAGAATTGTATGTAACCAACCTAAAAGTAAACGCACTCAGCAGATACACCGCAGATTAGTCCTTCAACACAGCAAAACTCACATCTCATCCCAATAATTTAAATCCACTCATCTATGAGTCTTTTTCTGCTGAGTTTTCCCCTCAGAATTTTTTTTTTTCTAATTTACCTATCCTGCTAATCTTTATTTCCTTTTTTCTTTTGTGAATCTATCATTTGTAGCTGTGTTTTCAGGATACTGTGAAAGCTTCAATAAAGTCAGTTTATTGGAGGCTTTCCTGCACTACTCAGTTACTTGATATGAGCCAGATGTTAGAAAAATAAGTATTCTGCTTTGCTGCTTTTCACTTCTTTTTTTATTTGTTCTTGTTATTTGTTTTTTTTTTTTTTTTTTTTTTTTTTTTGATAGAGTGAAACAATATCAAGGATAACATTTTAAATCTGGAAGGTGTTAAGCAGGTGTTTTAAACTGCACTGATGATTAGCATGGAGTTAAAAGCCTTCAGGAATCCTTACCCCATTGGCAGCTGCCATTTGGACTATGACCTCAATGGCAGCCCGGCTGAAGTAGCGGCCGTCGCTGCCCACCACCATGGTGCAGCCCTGTCTGTCCCGCAGATCGATGGAGGACAGCAGGCTCTGGATGTAGTTCTGTAAGTAGTTCCTCTTCCCCTCGAACAGCGCAGTCTTCCTCCGCAGCCCGTTGGTTCCAGGCTGCTGGTCCTCAAAGGGGGCGGTTTGGACCGTCAACACAGGGATGGGGCTCCTCTCCATCCTCCTTTTTCTTCTCGATTTAGACTGAATCCAAGAGTTTATTTTCTGGAGCTCACAGTTGGGATTAACCTATCACAGAGTAAAAAATAAAGTTTGAAAAAAAGTCTAGTGGCTGCTTACAGCTGAGGAAAAAGTGGATTTTTACCTTGGCAACTTCTGCCAATGTGGGAGCAGCATCTCTATCCTACCGGAGCCTAAGAGCAAAGCTTCGCTCAGCTGTTAGAAAGCTCCCTCTCTTCCTATTAGGAATGAACAACTGACGGCAAGAGGGGAGAAAAATCAGGGAGGGACTGAGCTTTTAGTGATACAATCAGCTGAGCCTCAGCCCAAAAATAGACATCTGACTGAAGGGAGTAGAGGAATTGTGCTGTGGCCGGAGTGCAACCGGACACTGTCAGTGTCTGTACTGTCCTTACAGCCCGCTGAGAGAATACACTGCTAGACTTTAAATAATAAAACAATGGCATTGTCTTAAATGAACCATGAGGCTCTCCACCCAGGTTAATACGCTTTGGGGGCGCCTGGGAGCAAGAAATGAAAAAGTTATCAGTTGTACAGTTTTCCATTGCTTACTTGCTGCTCAGACAGTGAATAGAGACATCTAAATAGTGCCGTAGTTCTAAATGGGATTAACTGCAATGGTTTATTTATGAAACATAACATTTGAGGCTATATTAAACTGTTCTTTGGGGAGGGAAATAAAACTTGTATATCAATCATAAATAACCTTTAATGTTTACTTAAAGATTATGATAAAGCAAGATGGGAAAAGATTTATTACTTTATCTATTTGTGAAAACACAAATCATAATTTTAGAAACCTTTTTGGCATTGAGACAAGATAAGATAGACTAGATCTTACAGTGGAGAAATTCACAAATATCACATTGGCTCAGTAGTTAAAAGAAGATGCCAAAAGAAGGAAAAGGTGCATAGGGTATGTGCAGTACATACAGTGCACCTATATATATATATATATATATATATATATATATATATATATATATAGA